GACAATGTCTTGTTCTTGTTTTATATAAACTATAGATAATGAATCTTGCGTAAACTGGTCATAGTGCTTTATGTTACAGCTTTCAAGGCGTTGAGAATTAATCAACTCATTCAAGTCCTTTGTGAAGGAAGCTTTAATGATGTATAAAATCCTAGAAAGAGGTACCCCAAGACCTATATCCACACTTTGCTTGTTACATGTTGACTTTGCTCGGCGATCAGCATGATCATGCCTCGGGAATCCAACATGCGATGGAATCCACACAAAACGTACATCACGGCCTCGTTCTTCTTCACGATACACGGTTATCCTGATATCATTTGCAATATTTCCTGCACCTTTTTCTAGAGTGTTCAGAGCCTGGAGAGCACTCTGTGAATCGCAGAAAATTAACCCTGAGCCTTGATTCAAGAAATTCGGTGGCCATGAGTATTCCTGCCAACTCATTTTTCGTCGTGCTATACCAGTCTTGAACTCTCCGACAATCCTGGTGCTGCAAAATACAACAAAGCGTATCCTGCTTTGCTCCCAGTTTGCAAGGATTCGTCAATGTAGCATTCATATGCATTGGACAGAGTTTCTAGATGCTCATTTATAGTTCCAAGTGAATACTGCTTAAGTATAGCAGAGGGGCTTTTTGGGGGGCAGTCGTATGATATACACTTAGGTCCGACATTTTCCACGGTGGTACAGAACGTCCATGAAGGGTCTTAGTTATGGGTATGTTCAGCTGAGCTAAGTGTTTACATGTTACATGTACCCATAGATTTGAGTATGGATCGGTGTTGCCATTCAAAGTTAGCTCCTATATTCTGTGGTTTAGTTGTAATTGAAACTCTGTACAATAGAGGGCTTCTCTAATTTATTTGATACTAAATGTGGTATTTATGTATAATATTCTTTCGTAAACAGAAGGTAAATTAAGTTCTGTTCTCATATTCACAATTCTCGTTGTTCCAGTGGACCAAGAATGATCCTCACGGCTTCATATTGTACAATTTCTAAACTAGTCAACTCTAATTCCTTGAACAATACTAGGTGCCATGTATGATAATCTATGACTAACCGTATGTATGACAAGTAAAAGAGTCTCACAGTATTGACATTGATACCATGGTCTTTGCCAACAAGTGTCCTAAGTGGCTTCAGTTTTCTGATGAACTCTACATCATTGACAGTCACCCCGAGGTACGGGTAGTAAAGATCTAGCTCAATGTCATTTATATGAAACCTTGGCAGAGGGATTATCTTTGGGTTAAGTACCTTGGTCTTTTCAGTCGAGATTATCAAGCCACACTCAGTAGCCCTTACTGAAAGCATATCTGGAATCTCTTGCATTCTCTCCTCGGATGAGGATTTAACGCAAATATCATCTGCATAGTAAACAATGGAGTCATTGCTCTTAAGTGGTATATCGTCTAGTAATCTATGCATTAGGATATTAATTAGCATAGGACTATGTACGCCTCCCTGAGTTGTGCCGAGTTCAAATACTTTTTGTATGAGTACTTTCAATTCCCTTGAATAGAACCTCAGCCGGTCGATTCGATAGATACATTTGAATCCATGTTAACAGTTTTCCCTGAATACCAAAGCTAGCTAGTTGCTCAAGGATAATTTCTCTGTTTGCAATATCAAAGGCAGATTTAAGATCAAGAAATACGGTTTGCATGTCTGGGTTTTAATTTATTAAGTACTCTGCAAAATAATGCTGACTGCTACGTCCTGGGAGAAATCCATACAGTCTAGGGAATAACTTAGCATTTATGCGATACATAATTCTGTTCAGAATTATTCTCTCAAGTACTTTGCACAGATAGGAGGTCAAGGAAATGGGTGTGTATTTGTCAGTATTAGATTTAGGTATAGGAATGATTAAGCTTTTCGTCCAGGAGCTTGGGAGGATAGGTATTCCTTGTAATAGGCTGAGTCTATACAGGTGTAAAAGTGGGTTGCCTGGTACCTGAACAATATGGCAAAGGACACTGAAAGTAATGCCATCCTCGCCAGGGCCGGTTGCCTTACCTTTCAGAAAGACATTACTCAATTCATTACTCGGTTATTTCGACAAAGTCGGGGGGGTTAATAGCAGCACAGGCTACTGTTATATTAAAATTCCTGTCTGTTTTATACTTGTTGACTTGATATTTTATGTGTGAATGAGTTCAACTGAAAATCCCCGGCCCACTGCTCTAGCAGAGTATTAGTTTGTTCTTGTGGACTGTGGAATTGCGGTGTTGTGAGAGATTTACCTGTCAGCCTATTAATTTTTTCTCCATAATCCATCTACAGACGTTTGACTATTGATACTTTGCAAGAATTGTTCCCAGTGTTTACCCTGAATCTGAGTTTTTAATTTTCTGAATTCCTTGTTGGCTTTAAGAAACTGTAGACTATCTGTCGTCTCATTACCTTTATAACAATTAGCAAGCTCTTGAACCCGATTTCCCTATCCTATAAAATATGATCTTTGAACCCGAGCTAGTCGGACAATGTGTGT